GCTCAGCAGTGGTCAAAGTAGTACAGAATTAAATTGACTGTCTGAATTTTACTCTTGGAAGGGATGAGACTGAAAAAGAAAAAAAAAAAAATGCCCTTCCAGCAGCTGTAATTTTCATGCTGGCTACCTAGTTCAAGGGATTTGTAACATCCTGCTCAAACAAGAGCCAGGTTCAAAAAGGAAGGAGCACAAGAGATGCAGCAGTCATTGTGCTAGAAATGCATTCATGTGTACCAAGCATGTGGTCACAAATCAATGTGATGCAGTTAACAGAGTGATCACCACACAATTATGTATGAGCGGGTCCGCACAGTGGCTTTGTGGTCAGCCCTGTCGAAAACAGGAATACAAATTATGAGCCGTTGCCATTTCTATCCTCTATGTACGTCTGCAGTACAGACACAGGATTGTTATCTCCTGTTAGGCACAGCATTTCATGATTTAGGCTGGGTTCACATCTGGACGTACGTTTTTACCGCGATCTGCGGTAAAGGAAACGCGCGTTTACGAGGGCTACCCGGCTGTATCCTAATGGATACGCGCGACAAATACGCCCCCAAAGAAGCTCCTGTACTTTGGGCGTAGGGCGTTTTTCAGCGCATAAAAACGCCCAGGTGGGAACCATGCCCATAGGCAATTATTGGTTTTCACATGTTGAGCGTTTTACAGCACATAGGAACGCACTGTAAAACGCCCAGGTGTGAACCAGGCCTTAGTGTAGTGTACTCTGTATTCAATGCATTCTGTAGAACACTAAAATTTGTACATCATATACAAAATGTATAAATGTACCCCAGCTCACATTCTACCGATAATTAAATTTTATTCTGTTGGTATAGATCAAGAAAAAAAAAAGAATTGGACAAACCCTAGAAATCCCACACATGGCAAACCCCTTTATCTGGTGACCATCTTCAGTCTTTTACATCATAAATGCATTAAAGTGATGCTGACCTAGCCTAAAAAGTGCCCAAGTGGGGGGACAGAAATTAAAGCATCTTCTGGAGCCTTCAAGTACCCGAGCCATTTTACAATCCTATCCCCATGGAGCCAAATGGATCCTAGGTCAAGGCTGTACACAGGGGCTCCAAATCTCAAATTAAAAGTATTTCTATACTCTATACTCCCCCCCCCCCCAAACCCCCCCCAGGTTTTGGATTAAACCAAAAAGATTAAAACCCTATCCATTTTTTTTTGGTTTGTGTTCTGTTCTACCAGTGGTGACACAGACAGCAATAAACATTGACAGGAGTTCTAACCCTTCCCCAAACTACTCAAAACTTTAACATGTAAAAATTGGGGCTATACATAACTAAGCTCTCCTTACTCCTGGTACCATGTCTCCATGGTACCATCTGGATTCTAGACAAAGACGTCCATACTGCCCACAAGCAGCCTAACAGACCCTCACATTTCCACATTATTCAACCCCCTTTGGACACAGAAATGCAAACCGTTTGTCCCAAAACGCACAAAAAGAAACCTAGAAACTTTTTAAACCCCAGCTTCTCGCTAGTGATTTTCCTCTATGTAGCACAACCCAAACAGCTAAGGGTGTACAGAGGCATCAGATTTAGCAGAGTACAATGTAGCATAAGGTGATCCTGCTGCTTAAAAGGAATAGGACTTGTGCTCACAAAAAAGACCCAGGAAGCCATTCACCTTTGTGTTATACTGCCACTCACAGGAGGAGGATTTGACACTGGCAAACAGCAAACTGAAGGCGAGCCCAGAATAACCCCTTCCACTATCATCATGCTTTAATCTTATAGCAAGCTGTGCCAAGTGCATGACCATAAACAAAAAGGTGGGAACTGTGTCCCTCAATGGTCTAGAAAAGGATTGCACAGCATTTTCTTTTTTTACATTCATTGAGGGACACAGAGATCCACTAATCTGTGCGGGGACATGAAAGAAGAATATGAAAAACCAAGGAGGGGGCAGAGTGTAACTCTAGCTTATAGACCCTGAAAACCTTCTCTTACAGCCTCATCATCTGAGATGCAAGCAGTATCCAAATAGCTACAAAAGGATAACAAATGTTCCTCCACTTTGGCAAGAAGGACTCTCCTTCATGCAGAGGAAAAGTTTGTCTGAGGGTTTGGGAGACCGAGTCCTGGACCTTGTGGGTGGACTGAGAGCCAAGCTTGGGGGTGTCTGGATGTGGAGGTAACAGTAGCGGTGAAACCAAAAAGTGGTTTCTTAACCACCAGCGAGGAATGAACTCTCCGTAGGCTTCTTCCTCCAAGGAAGACAGTTGCTCTAGCCACCAGTAGCATACTTGACATTGGTTTCCAGAGTAAATCTGAAGAGACATTGTACCTTGCAGACTATGCGAATCAGACACCTTTCAGAAATAGGTTCCATAGTCCAACACTTTAGGGAAAATGTACTCCGCATGTGTGCTACAAGAGCGGGAGGCTGCCAGATCAACAATGTGGGCAGACAACTTATCCAAAGTCCTCTCCCTTATGGATACAAGGTTAATTAGTGCCTGGGGAGAAAATAAAATATTGTCCGGGGGTTTCCAATCTCTGTAGAGGAAGCCTTGGAACAGCACATGCAATGTCTTTGTGGTAGTGGCTCTAAAGGACCCAAGACTAGGAATAGCAGTGGTAGAAGCAAGAGGCTGATCCTCCGATTTCACAGTTGTGTGTACTGTATCATTGAGGGCAGAAACATCTTAATATGGGAGTTAATGCAGAAGACTGACACGTCAGAGGCAAGCCCATCTGGTAAGGACTAGAGTGAAAATCAGATTTAGACAATCTTAGCAGATGATGGCTCAGAAGTCACAGATAGATCAGAAAGAATCTGCAGTGGAAGGTGCAGGAAGACCTTTGTAACCTCTGAGGTCAAAGTCTGCAAATAAATGGGTGCTTTGGGCCATAAAGTTATGCATGACAGTAGTAAAAACCTCAGTTGTGAGAACAGAAGAGCCAGCCAGTGACAGAGCTTCTGAGGAAGTCGGATGAAACTGGAGCCTGTGACAGCACGTAGACCAAGAAGGAGACCGATGCTTAGGTTATTCTGGCAGTTTGTGGTCACCTCGATGTGGACCAAGTTTTACAATTTTAAAACACATTTAATGGGATAGTGTATGTATTTTAGCATTTTAAATGAATACAGGTATAAGGGTTATTAAAGCGCAGTGCCTTTTTATTCATTAAGGGTCAGACTCCAGTAGCAGAGGGCAGAGTGACACTTGCAGATATCAGCCGCAGCAGTGAGTGTGCTGCAGCACTGGAGTCAGAGTGAGTTCGGTGTCAGCAAAAATATGTCTTCCAGAGCAGAGTTGATGAAGACAGTCATTCTCCTAGGACAATAGCAAAAAAAAGTGGGGTACCCTGGGCTGGCCTACAGGTCGTTTGCCAGTGCCCGATCCTCTTAAAGGGTACAGTAAAATCCAACTAAAGTGAATAATTTTGAGTCCCTCAATGGACGAGAAAGGTTTCTATAAAAACAAAATCTGCAAAAGGAGATTCTGAATACTTACCTCGGCGGCAAGTTCTTACTTTGCTCTCTAAGAGCTAAAGCCTCCAGAAAAACTGGCATCTGGCACATCCAGGTATGTCAGATTACTGCTCCACCTGCTATTGCTTACAGTGCTCCATACAATCCAATTCATTAAATTAAACATGAGTTTGAGGCCCTATAAAACAGTTTTACAAAATACGGAGGCCCATATATACTAGCTCTTATGTGGACGGTTTACTTGTTACAGTTGACCTATATTTTTCGGAAATGAGGTGACATGTCCAGCACTTAGAAACAATGGTGACAAACCTCGGTACTGGAATGCATTTTTTTTTAACCAAACAGAAGCAGTTCACGTCATTGCAAAGGAACAGCTTTAAGGGACTTAAAATTTTTCCTCTTTAAATATTTGCAGTAGATGCATGTTGGAGAAAAGGACTACTCATCAGTTATTCCCTTTAGGCTCCCAGCAGCTGATCCTTTCCCCCATAAGCAATTTACCACGCATTGTTCCAACACTGCGCCGAGGACATGTTGGTATAGGCAGGGTTTTGTCAGAACTAACCCTCTGATGATGGTAGGCAACAAAAGGGAAGTAGGAAACGTTTTATAAAACACAAATGAAAATGGATCGAACAGAAGCAGGGAAATCCTTGTACTGCAGGTGCTCAGGTATAGCTTCCCCTCGACCATAAAAACTGCTGGAAAATGCTTGGCTGGTTATTATAGAGATCAGAAGCTTAGTGGATATGCATGTCAAATGGATATGGATTGAGGAAGGAGCCAATCTCTAACAATGGCAGCAACAGAGGATTTAGGGGACCCCATTTACACCTCTTGATCAAGCACTTTATAAACTCCACCAAAGGCCCCTGGCATACGGGGGGTCCGATCGGTTCCACCCGTTGTTTCGGGTGGACCTGATCAGAAGCCCAATGAAAGTCTAGGGACAGCTGGGTCTAAACAGACGAGCATCGGTTTACACCTGGTTACCTCCAACTAACAATGTTCCATGTTGATGAACCTGATTGTGCTGGATCAGGGGTAACCTGGCAGACACGTCTATTTAGATCCGATTCCCCATAGACTGACATAGGGTCTGGTCATTTCATTTTTGGAGGAAAAATGAAAAAAAAAAAACACAAAAACAAAGTGGACGACTTGATCCGTACCTGTCTGATCAGGAGGGGATCTGTGCACGGCAGTGACATCCCTTCCTGATCAGCCTGTGCGAAAGGGACCTAAAGCAGCTCCACTATAAAGCATGTGCTTTACTAATGTGCCATGCGCAAAAAAAATTAAAATGAGTCGAGAAGAAAAAAAAGCCAGGACACGACAGACTCTCCTTCAATCACAGAGTTATTTCTGCTGTGTAAAGCAAAAGGGAACTCCGTGAAGTACCAGGGGCTCCATACCAAGGCCTGCATTTAAGCACTTTATAGTGGGACATAACATGCAGTCCGAAGTACTGGGTGATACAGTAGAGTATTACCGAGAGCTGATGGATAACTATACTATGGGGCTGATTTATAATGATGTGCAGATATCTTTTAGGGGTAAGTTAAAATTCTATGTTTCAGTGCACAACCCCCCACGGGTAGCCCTGGTTTCAGTTCAATTAACAGGAAGCTACAAGGACATGCATTTCTGGCTACATCAACAGGTATTTCCTGTACATGCTGAAAATGTGTTAGCCTAAAAATTTAAAACTAATGCATTTGCCACAATGGGGGCAGAAGTGTAAACGGGGCCTTGAACAAACATGAAATCCAATGAATCACCCGTGTCTCAACCATGATCTGGATACCACTCTAGTACAGCCACACTACTACAAATCTACTCCTAAAACACAGCCACAAGACACAAAGGCAAATGGTCTTACGCAGCGAACAGGATGTGGTGCGTCTTCTTTTTGAGCTTTGCCGATTGGCCTTTTCGTGAGCCAAAGAGCCTCTTGTCTGCATATGCCTGGTGACAGGACTCTGATCCTGCTCTGACTTGTCAACGCCATGGAAATACTTCATATGGTAATGCAGCAGTTTGGCTTTGCGAAAAGATTTGGAGCAATCCAAAATCTTGCATTTAAACTTGTTGGGCTCCAGTTCCAAGGTCACAGCTTTGGTAGCTGGATCATCAAGTTTCTTCAAAGTATTTGTTACTGCAATCACATAAAATAAAACAAACAAAAAAAATAATAGAATGCAACTAAAACCATAAGAAAAGCAAAAAATAAAAAAACACAAAACCTGAAACAAAAATGTGCTCAGTCTTTATTCCATTAAAGAGAATCTGTCACCAAGAAAAGACCACTTGGATGTACAGCAGTTCAATCTTCAATAATCTTACAACAAGAATAGGTTTCCACAGTGTGCTACTGTCCACATAATTGTTACAGTAAAATTATTCTTCACCTTTTGGTGCGACCATTTTGAATATTTGTAGCACTGAACAACAGTAGCGGCAACTGCCGACTCCATGCAGTTATCTGCTACAGAGTTAGAGATTTAGCCTGTTCCAAAGCTGCTTATTAAGCTCCCATGGCAAGGAGATTAACAAGTGGAAAACAATTTATATATGGGTTATAACTGCTATACAACTGCTTTGATCTTGCCCCGCAGTTAAACAGATACACTTTAATAGCGCATAATTATGTGGATGCTGAAATGCAATGAACTTCTTTCTCCGGGACACCACAGAGTTAGAATGACTTCACGCTACAAACAGCCAGCCATGTTAGAAAACGTAGCAAAGCTTCAGCACATATTAGCTACAATCATCTATTTAAGAAAAGATCACATTTTCTCTTTGAAAAGCAAACTTCGCCAGTGTGAAAGAAATCTAAAGTATCATGTGCATTTATCAAGTTCAATTAGAGGCATTGTAAGCTCATAGGAAGCCACCTTTGTCAAAAGGATTGCCAAAGATCTCAGAGCATTAAAACAGACAGACACACAAAAAACTCTGGAATTAAAACAATGTATCTTATTTGTGTATCATTCGGCTGTAGACCCTCAAATCATCTCTGAATTGGTGCTGATAACTGTCCTTCCTTTTGGAGGGGGGCTACTTTTGTTCCTCATGGTCCCCGTGCGTGTTGTAAAGTAGTCACCACTCCAAGCTCGCTCCTGTGATGGACTACAATCTCATGTTTAGTTTACCAATTTGTATTGAGATTGTAGTCCATCACAGGAGTGAGCAACTTATGTTCAGAGGGAAGCGGCAAAAGTATAAAAACCTTACCTTTCAGCATGTCATCTCCTGCACACAACGGCAAGCTTCCAGACAATGGAGAGAGAGAGATAAGACCCGAGGTGTACAGTGCTCGATGACATTATCTGCCCCCCTTCACTATCTTCCATTCACCAAAGGGCTTGTATTGTTTTAAAGAACACAAGACATTCTTTGATTGGAAGGGAGAAGTCACATCCCTGCCCCCATCCTCTCCATAGTTAGTCAGGTTGAAAAAAGACACAAGTCCATCGAGTTCAACCTCCAATCGCAGAATGTCTTGTGTATTATGTGCAGGAAGCACTGTGTGCAGGAGATAGAGTGCTGCAAGGTAAGATTTTTATAGTGGTAGCCATCCTCTGCATACAACAGCTTACACAGCTTTTTTAATGATAAATTTGCGAAGTGTAAATTAGCAGCGTGTGGCTTTAAGCTTGCATTATAGAGCAATGGAGAAGACGGTGGAGCTGGAAGCAGAGAGATTATGTCACATCTAACTTGTCCAATAGATTGCTGCTCCTGTGGGTCATAGAATGTTTTAGGGCTGCCCATAAAATGATGGTAAGCCAAGCAGGGCTCGTTCACACTCGAGTGGTAGAACCAAAAGTGCGTCTCGAGTGCTGTTGGCAAGGGGACCCAACGGGATTCCTACTCCAATTATTTAACAGTGCCACCAATAAAGCTGGGAAAATGTGATTTGCAATTACACAAGGGGAGTCATAATTATAACACAGGTTTATAATTTGTAACCCCACTTTCCCCAGCTTCACTGGTGTGGCAGTGTTATTTGAAGTTATAATTACACTGCCACACCAAAGAAGGATTACACAATGCAATACAACCCACTTTCCCTAATTTCTTTGGTGTTGTAGTGAAAATATAACGTAAACTAACAGTTACACCAGTGAAGCTGGGAAAAGTGGGGTTACAAAGTGGGTGCACAGTATGAACATAGTGTAGGTGGATGGGAGGGCGCACCAAGTGGGTAGGTGGTGCGGGTGCACAGAGTGAGTGGCAGTGTGGGTAGGCGCACAGAGCTAATGGGGGTGGGTGGGTGTACAGCATCTCACCTCTCTTCCTCCGGCCAGCTCTAACCCCACTTTCTCTACTCTGCAACTCTAGGACCTGACTCCCACCCCACCCCACCCCTCCCCTCATTGAGTTGCTTTGGAGTAGGAAGGGGGATTTGCATATTAGTGAGGCATGGTGGGATTTGCATATGAATAAACTGTGGCTTATTAATATGCAAATCCTGCAATAACCATATGAATGAGCCGCAGGCAGCGTTAATGGCTCCTGCGGCTCAGTGGATGTCAGGAGAACAGAGGCTGCAGTCCCTGCCAGCTGGAGCCCCCTGTTTACCTGACAGCAGTCCTACCAGCAGTGGTGATCAGGCTCCCACGCCGCTGCTTCTCCTCCAGCCGTACTCAAGCAGGAGATAACTCCACCCTCTCCCGCTATACACTGTAGCAGGGGAGAGGATTGCAGGTGTCCTTATGTTCCGTGTAACGTTTTTGACTTGCGGCCGCATATAAATGAAGGACCCCTGAACCTCCCTCCTGCTTGGGCCCCATAGCGGCCGCGTGGGCTGCAATGGTGGTAGTTACAGCCAGGGTCAAAGTCCTTATACGTGGCTACTATGTGATGCACCTCTCACAAAAATCCTTCCATGTGAGCAAATTTGTGGGCATGATCTGACAAATAAATAGGATAGTGATTGGAGAGATGTGATGCATGCCAACACTCCCAGAGGAAGGTTTTCTACACTGCACAAAGTTCCCCCTGAATCTTCTCAGACTGTGGACATCTGCCTTTTAGATTGTAAGCCCTCATGGGCAGGGCTCTTCTTACCATCTTGTCTTGATTTGTATTGCGATTGTAATGTCTTCCTTATATTGTAAAGCGCTGCACAAACTGTTGGCGCTCTATAAATCCTGTATAATAATAATCTGCCTGCCACCACAGACCTATTTGCCCAGTGTGTACAAAGTATAGGTTTGCATTAAAAGCTTCACTCTGGGCACAAAAACTAATTTAAACTATATTCCTCAAGACGATATGTACAATAAAGTGAAAAAAGAAACCCGACTTTAAGTGGAAAGCTGAAACCATTTTACCCGAGATAATCCACTCTTAATCTGCAAGCTTCAGTCATTAAACATCTACAAGTCCCATCATGACCTGCCAGCCGGGGACCTGCATTTCAGCTGCAGCCTACTAATCCCCCTCTATAACCAGCTTAGCAAGAAAAAAGTAGCTGCTCAGACAGAGAAAGGTGAAAGGATTTAGCAGATATCCAGCAGAGTAAGAATTAAAGTGTAGGAAAAACCACAACAATAAACTTCTCTTATCTGCTGCCGTTTGGTCACATAAATATACCATTGAAAGGGTTTGGTCCTGTTTTGATCAGTGGAAAAAACCCAAAACCCATACCTGTTGATCATGTCAGTGTCCAGCATTCCCACGTTATACCTTCCCGGTCTTGAGACTACAGAATGATTAGCCTTTATGTTGTGGAGATGGAAGAGTAGGTGGCTCCGAGTAGTTTTGCAAGAGAAAACTGGTCAGGGTTGACTACACTCAATCCACCAAAATGCTGCGTTTTCAGCTAACAGGACTTAGGAGCCAAGTGCAATTTGGCAGATCGACAAGTATGTTTCTATACTTGCAGGTTTTGTTTTTTTAAAGGATTAAAAAAATAATTTGCATGCATTGGTGGATGTTTATTTTTCCTCACGTGGCAGAGAAAACACACACAGCTTTAATATCTTTTAGGGTAAAAACAAAAATGGTGTGCATTTATAAATGACAAGGTGGACAAATGATATTAGGAGTTCAGGAGCTAGTAGGATTTTGAATAAGCAGCCAGCATCATTGAAGACCGCTAGCAAAAAGCCTCCAAAGTTGGGCGCCTGCTGTAATTTTTAAAGGAACATTGGCAAACTGGATCCTGGGATTTGTCCATCCCTGCTTTTGGGCTCATTCACATGGCCGTGCACATCTGTATGGAATGCAGAGACCTGCTTTCTAGGAGGTATAGGTGCATGTAATTGTGAGCAGCTGCCCGTACTCAAACCGGCACATGCGTGCAAGTCTGGCTGCACGCACAGGGATGTACAGAAGGCTGCGCGCAATTACATGGAGAACAGGTCTTTGCACGGGAGTGCACACCATACAAATCTGCTTGCCCATGTGAACGAGCCCATAAATAAATGTGCCAATATACAGACCATCATGCCGATTCTATGGAGTGACTACTGTAATATCAGATGGAAGGTATGTCCCTCCACAGTTTCCTAAATATCTGATTTAAGGTAAAGCTAGCAAAGAACCAGAGGTAAAATAAATATATTTCTTCACCCCGTGTTGGGGGGGGGGG